CCGCCGCGCTCGCCGCGCCCGCCGCGCTCGCCGCGCCGCCGGCCGGCGCGCCGTTGGCGTTGGCGTCGACCGCGGGCGGCGGCGCGGCGCCTTTGTGTGTCAGCAGGCCGTCGGGGGAGGCGCCCAGCCAGGAGTGCGGCCCGTGGAGATCATCGCACCACACAGTGAACAGCTGCGTCGCGTGGCGGTTGCAAAGGCGAGGGGGGGCCGGGGTTCGAGAGACAAGCGGCGCCCTGGGGCAGGGGCCAGTTGAAAAACCCGACAAGCAGAGGGCCGGGCGCTCGAGGCGGCAACGACTTGTGTATTGAGGGGGCATGGGGCGCCGAACAGGTGCCGGGCTTCCAAAGAGCCGTGGGGAGCCGGCGAGGTCGGCCTGAGGGGCACCCACAGCCGAGGTCGGGTGGTCTCAGATCCTGTGACGCTAACCTTGGCCTCGACCTCGTGCTGCGGCACCAGCCGCGAGTAATCCTCCAGAGCCTCGTCCTCGTGGTTGGTGCCGTACGTCATGGCCGCGTTGGCTGTTTTGAGGAGATAGGGTTGATGGGGCAGGTTCACACATTGGTGAGGGCGAGGAACCAGGGGCTGCAGGGACAGGGCCCAAGATGTGATGCCAGAAACGCGCGATGGCGTCGCGCTGCAACAATCCTGATTCATGACAGAGGCAAGAAATGTCAGGCAGGCGGAGACAAGAGCGAGGGTGCGGGACAACGGGCGCAAAACTGCATGACTGGGGCTTCGAGGCGCTGCATTCACGACCCCGGCCCGACAACCACGCGCGGATTAAAGACCTTTGCTCGCGCCCTGCTCGTCCTGCACGTCTTGGTCTCTGACCCACCCCCAACCTCAAAACCCCAACTCAAGGCCTGAGCCACACAGAGGAAATAGACCATATCCCGCCCTGACACCAACGAGCAAAACGCACACCTGGCTGCTTGGCGGCCAGCCCAACCTTCTCCGCCCACAACTGCTTCAAGTCATCCACCGGCAGCCTGAACCACCCCAGCACGTTTGGCAGCGCGCTCGCTGTCAGCCGCACGTCCCGCAGCCCGTGCCACGCCGCGCCGCGCTGCTGCTCCCCGCTGTCGCCGGCCATCGCGCGGCCGTGCGACGCGCGGAGCGAGGTGGCGCGGCGGGCAGATTCCACGAACGCGGCCCACACGGCGTCGCCGTCGGCCTCGGCCGCGGCCGCCGCCTGGTCGGTCCCCGCCGGCGCCGCGGCCACACCGTCAGCAACGCCATCCCCGCCGCCAGGCGCAGCCGCCGAAGCGGGGCCGTCCCCAGCTTCCGACTGCTGCTGCTGCTGCTGCTGCTGCTGCTGCTGCTGCAACTGCTGCGACTCAGGCTCGTCCACAGCCGCAGCCTCTGCCACCGCTGCCGCAAGCCGCGGCGGCGGATAGTACAGATGCCAAGCAGGCGGCAGCTCCGCTGCCGCCTCCGCCGCGCCGCCGCGCTGCATGGAGGCCTGCGTGAACGCGCTGTGCGGCTGGGGCGCGCCTGCCAGGTGCACCGCCTGCTGTGCACCAACATCTTGTGCCGTGAAGGACGGGTGCGGCGCGGCGGCCGCGCCTGTTGAGACGTCTGGCAGGCGCCGGCCGGGCCGCCGGGGCCCCAGGGCTGCCGGCGCGTGCGCTGGCTGTGGCGGCTGCGAGGACGCGCTGTGGGGCGCCGGCGGCCACGCCGACGGGGCAGGAGCGGGCGGTACGCCGCTGGTGGGGTGATGATACTGCTGCTGCAGCGGTGCTGGCTGCTGCTGCTGCTGCTGCTGCTGCTGCTGCTGCTGCTGCTGCTGCTGCTGTTGCTGCTGGTGTGTCGTTTGACCCGCTGCTAGCGGCGTTGGGGCTGCTGAGGCATACAGCGGCGGGCCGCCTGGTGCGGCTGCAGGGGAAGGGCCCTGCGCCTGGGCTGCCTGCCAAGGCTGCGTAACTGGAGGTCCGCTCCGCAAGGGTGGACGAGGAAGCCGCCCTGGCACTTGCGGAGGCCTGGACAGCCGTGGCTGCTGCTGCTGTTGCTGCTGCTGTGGTGGCGACGGTTGCCCCACGGGCTGCGGCTGCCACTGCTGCTGATATTGTGGCTGCTGCTGCGGCTGCTGCTGCCAATGCTGTGGCTGCTGCTGCGGCTGCTGCTGCCACTGCTGTGGGTGCTGCTGCCACTGCTGTGAATGCTGCTGCGGGTGGTGCTGCAGCTGCTGCTGTTGCACCCACTGCTGCTGCTGCTGCTGCTGCTGCTGCTGGTGATAGTGGCGCTCCTGCTCATAAACCTGTTCAGGCGGCAACGCGTGCGCCTGGTGTTCCTGTGAAGGAAGCAGGAGAGGAGAATGAGCTGCCAGCCTTGATCTAGGCCCAAACTATCCAGCAACAGGCCACATGCACAAATACACACATATCCGGCTGCACGTTGCTGTGCGCGCTACTAAAGCATAAGCACCCTCGCATGCGTGCGCACATGCACACGTGCACGCGCGGGCATGATCTCACAATCTGGTCAACGGTCAACTCCAGGTCTGACAAAAGCTGCACCCTCTCGTGGTACTGCAGTTGCCGGTAGCCGGCATACCTTGCGCAGAACAGACAGCAGGGCGGCACGGCGGGTCAGGAAAGGCGCGGAGGGGCAGCCGCACGCGCAGCGCGGCCCGCCGTCATGACGACGACAGCTCGGCGCCAAGCCGCTGGGCGGGAGCGCGCGGGCCGCCTCACCTGCCGGCCAGCAGCCCGATCTTGGTCTGCAGGCCCCAGGGGAGGCCTGCGCCGTGCAGCTCGCCGAGCGATGCCGACACGAAGTCTGAGAAACTCTGGGTTTGGCCCTGGGGGGGGGGCCGGTCGCGAAGCGGCCAGCTCGGCTGAAGGGCAGCAAGGGGAGGGCCGCACGCAGGGAGAAGGTGGTGCGGCTCACCCACAGCAAGCACAGGCCAGGCGCAGGCCGCGACAGCACGCGGGCCGAGCCGCGCCTGGTGCGCTTGACCAGAGCCGCGCGGCCGGGGCGGCGCAGGCGCAAGAGCGCTCGAGCAGCAAAAGAGGACGACAGCCGCAGGAGCAGCAAAAGAGGACGACAGCCGCAGGAGCCTCGCGGGGGCGCGCGACCCAGGCTGCTTGGCTGCCCCTCACCGCTGCGTCGCTGCAGTGGTTTTGCCTCTCAAACTGCAGTGAGCGCCGGAGGATTTGCACCTTGTTTGAGATGTCTGGACGCGGTGCAAAGCCGCCGCCGCCGTAGTCGCCACCGCCACCGCTGGTATAGGGGCCGCCGCTGCTCGTGAAAAAGCAAGGCGGGTTTGCGGCAGTCTCACATGGTTGCAGCATCCAAGATGCGCCGGTGCCCGCGAAATGCGGCTGAAGTGCAGCCGCAGCACTGCTTCCCAGGCTGACTTGCCTGGCCTTTGCAGTGCGAATACTGCAAGAGCGGATGAGAGGCTTTGTGACTGATTTTTCGTTGATAAACCTCACCCATAGGAGTCAGCAGAGGCGCCCACCGCCACCCGCAGGTGCTGCAGCAGCCGTGGGCCTGCCAATGCCAGCTGCTGCGGTGCCGCATGTGATGTGGACCAGGGAGCGGTATGGGTGTAAACACCAGCCACCGCTTCGAACGCATTCGCTCGAGCATGCGGCCAGCTGAGATGCTTGGTGTGGTGCACATGCATGCAGCAGGTGAGCGCCTGGAGCTCAGCAGCCGCAGCACGCAGCTTGCTTTCCTCATGATGCTTCTCCGCTCTGAGGAAAGGTGTCGCTAGATATGAAGCGGCAGGCGAAAAGCTTTGTTCTTTTCCCAGCATACCGAGCTCAGAGCACCGCTTGCTTACCTGGTGCGGTGCAGCTCGCCGCATCCGCGACAGCATGGCGACCGGGACCCAGCAGCAGCAGCGGCGGCGCGCGTGAAGAGCGGCGGGCGCGGCAGTGGCGCCTCGCTGCTGTCTGCAATAGCGTGCCTGCATCTACTGCTTACTGAAGAGCTGTCGCGCTGTTCCCCTTTTTATCGCGCAGGGACGCGCGCGTCAGATCAGATCCCGCGCGGTGGCTACAAAGTGTCGCATGCTGGACCAAAAGCGACGGCACTCATGTTGTGCTAGCAGCTGTACGTGTGCCGCACGCTGGTCTGTCATTCATGCACTGCTGCACTGCACGCAGCTGCTGACTGCAGCACCCACAGAATGCCGGCTCGGCCGCAAACTGCTGAACGTCAAGTAGCCGTCAAGGCGCGGCTCGCATGTATGAAGGTGAACTGCCACATAGCAATGCAGGCCACAGATGCAATTGTGAACACTCTGCATGATTTGCAGCTCCCTGTCAGAGCTGCCAAGAGCTGCAGCACCTTGATGATTTGAATGGTCACCTCTTGTCAATGGACTCTTCTTGATTGCACCCTGATAACCGTCATATACGCTGCCCTGCCGCAGCCCGACAACACTTTTGAGTGCATCTCACTGGCGCCGTCGTGGACCCCTCAAAAGCACAGCGGCACACATTGTGTAGCACCAATTTTGCTCCTTCTTGTGGTCGCAAAACCATAGGCGTGCGCGGTGCTGCAAGGGTGCATGTGCGGTGTTTTTGCAGCTGTTGGTTGAATCATTGGTCAAAACAATTGACTGTTTGGCTGCCCGCCCGCGTACCTGCAGCCCAGAAAAAGACTTGGAGTGAAGTGTGGGCGCGAAGTCATATGGACCTTGGGGTGCAATATCACTTTGTTACATTCAAGATTACAAGTCAGAACAGGTTCACGACAGGGGCATAGCGCACAGCAAACAGCGCGGAACATGCAGGGCCTGGCTGCGCGTGTACCAGATTCAGTCGCGGCCAGTCCGCGCGGTAGGAGCCCGGGTGCCAGGGATGAGGCCAAGCAGGCAGCGGAGTGCGCGCACATGCGTGCGCGAAAGATGGGGCTGCAGGAGCTGTGGGAGAGTGGCGCACGCATCAATGCGACAGGGTGCGGACCGCACTTCCCCCCTGCCGACCTCACCCGGGTGATAGCTGTCACCCTCCCCCACCTCGCCGGCTGCCGCAGCCGCAGCCGCAGGCAGTTTGTTGTAAAGCAGTCGCCTGTGCATGGGGGCTCTTGACTACAAGGGTGCATCTCGGTCAAGAAGTGCAGCACATGAGCCCGGCGCAGGGGCCCGAGGCGGCTACACGTGTGTTGCCACCAAGGACAACGGGGCCAAGCTCTTGTCGCGCAAACAACCGCAATCATAGAAGTGACGACCGGCCAAACCGCAAATGACAGCAACCTGGGTCACAACTACACAGTAAAAAAACAGGGGACGCGTCATCAAGATACGAGCGCCTGGCAGGGAGCGGCCGGGCAAGGCTGGCCTGGCAGGGCAAACCCGCCCCGCCGGCCCCCGGGGGCGCCCCCTAAGCTACCACCCTCCCGCATTCCCCTCCCCCCTCGCGCACGCGCATATGCGCGCACGCGTGCGACAACGCGCGCTCCTCAAGGCTGCGCGCTCCGGTCTGGCAGCGGTGTGTATGCACCGGGCGCGCCCGGCGGCCGCAGCGGCGACGGCAGCAAAAAGTCTGGCGACACGTCCAGCTCCTCGGGGTCGAGCGACAGGTGCCCGTACGCCGACCCGCCGCCGCCGCCGGGCTTGAGGTATCCAAACAGCCGCGGCGCCGCGCGCGACAGCGCGCGCTCCGCAGTCTCCGCCGCGGCGCGCGCCTGCGGGAAGTGCTCGTACACCGCCTCGCGGTTGCCCCAGGCGATGCCCGCCAACAGGATCACAAACGCGGGCACGAGGATGCCGGCCGCGATGCCGCCCGCCTTGGAGCCGCCGCCGCCCCCGCCGCCCCGCGCGC